GGTGTACTGAACTCCATCCAAGAACTGGTTGAGTTAAACACAAAGCGCCATCTGCTTCTTTAGCAATGTAGAGAGACTCCTTTGTGAAGAGGAGGAAGTGAGTGGGGTGAGGAAGAGACAGAAGAAATTAATCCAGTGACCGGAAGGAAGAAAGGTGTCTGCTTTTAGCTTGAGAGGATGTCGTCAACCACTTGGGCATCTTTCCTCCTGTGGTCTTTAGTGCTAAATCTTTTCATTCTAAGTATTATATCTGATTTGCGATTTGTTTCACTATGGAAACTAAATTTTGAAGCAACTTTAAGTAAAATCTTAATCTTTCTATTTTCCTATTTCATCAATTTGTGAGTAAAAATGCAAAAATAAAACTATGTAAATAATCTACTAAAAACCTGAGCAAACCACTGTTGGTGACAATGAAGGGTAACCCCCTACTTTTAATTGACAGGAGCATTTGTCTTTCATTTCATCATAGGCAGCTAGTATATGGTTGCTTTTCTATTGTTAGGGTGGAAAGTTCTCACTGTGACCCATACTGGGATATGAAAACAAGAAATCCCTGATTTGGAACCTCTAAGGCTTGTCATCCTATTTTTCTCAACAGGATGATGTATTCTCTGAGACAATCTCAATATAGCCTTACCTGAAATCACTATTCAAATAGAGTCTTAAAAATAATCATTCATATCTACTTTGACACACTAAGCTGAGTCAATATGATCATGAATTAGGATGGTGAACTGACCTACCTCCTCAGAAGGGACCAAAATAGCATGATAACTACATTGACTTTATCCTTGCGTATTACATATACTCAGGGAAATATGACACTGTGTTTCAGTTTTTTAATTATACAGGAGTAGTTACCATCCAGGAAGGCACTCCAGCTAATAGCAGTCCTGTGAGGGAGTATACTTATCACCCACACTTATAACCCCCACAGAAGAGGAAATGGAGGGGCTTGAGAAAATTAGATTCTTCCCAAGGACCTTCTCATCAACACTGCTGTTCTTGCTCTGTGACTTAAAATGTACTGGGCTTGGGGTGGGTGGGTGGAAGTAGCTCCTGGATTTCCATCCTATGGTCTTTTTTAAAGAAACTTGTATTGTTCATCTTGACTTTCTTCATCCCATTCATCAAACTTTAATGTAGAACTTTCCCAACTATTTTCAAAAGAATATACCATAAATTATAGAGGTGATTTTAGAAAAGGCTAATAAATTGACAGTAACCTTGATGGAGAGGAATTAGATGTATCACAGTGAGATCTTTGTTACATCAGGTTATTGGTAAAAAGATATCAGTTCTTCTAGGCAAAATAGTGGCCTCTTCTGCAGGGCAGGGGGTGGATGTCACAGACACCAGAAAACATAAAGATGAAAAAGTCAGTAGTTAGGCTTGGGAAGATGGCTCAGTTGGGAGATTGTCTGCCAGATGAGCTTAAAGACCTGAATTCAGGTTCCCAGAACCCACTTAAAAGATGGCTGTGGTGGTGCACATTTGTAATCCAAAGATGACTGTGGTGGTGCCCATCTATAATCTAAAGATAACTGTGGTGGTGCACATCTGTAATACCAAGCTGGATGTGGTGGTGTACATCTGTAACTCGAAGACGGCTGTGGTGGTACACACCTGTAATCACAGTTTGAGGAAGGCAAAGACAGGCAGATCCTTGGAGGCCCCTGCCTAGCCAGTCTAGCCAATAAGTGATCACAGATTCAGAGAAGGACCCTGTCTGTACAGATAAAACGTGGAGCAATGAAGGAACATAACCAACAACAACTTCTGACCCTTGCATGCAGACAGGCACATATTCCGACATGAACACATGCATATACATTATACAAACACACTCACAAATAGATTTTAAAAATAAAAACAATTCTACACTCATTGGGTATATAATGAGCATTATAGTCTAAAAACAGTGTGGTTACTAATGTGTTAGTTTTGTATCTAGGTAGTTAACAAAGCAGAAACTTGACTAGTTGTATTTTTTGGTACTTCAGGGAAGTCCAGTTTGTATGCACAAAGGTTAAGAGATTTGGTACAAAATCCTCCTACCTTTATTTTTTCATTGTTTATTTAGTATTCACAAGCAATTTTTAATTTTACTTACTTTTAAATTGGCATACAAAACAACAGGTTTCTTTATGGCATTTTCATGCATAATATTTTGACTGACACTTCTATACCTTCAACAAAATTTCTCTTACAAAAAACATCATCATTTTTGAGGTGGTGGGCTGACCAACTCAGCTACCACTCATACCCAAAGCCGGGGATATGAGTTAGCATCCCAACATGAACCCCATCTATGAATTGTTGGGCATATGAAGGGGATGAGACTACAGATCCAAAACAGCAGGCTCTCCACAACATAGGACAACAAAGGATATCCAAGGGGAGCCCATTATCAGTTGGGTGGGATAGCAGAAGCCAGGGGCCTCAATGACTTGTGGCAATGAAGTCTTGCAAGTAAACATGAATGGACTAGAGGGTAAACTTTATGACTCAACAGTCCATACTACAGCTCTCATGACAAGATCATTTTCTCCCATTTGTTTGTTTTGGTTTTTTGTTTTGTTTCTTTGTTTTGTTTGGTTTTGACTTTTCATTTAAATTTGATTTTGTTTTGGGAAGATTTCAAGAGCAGAGGGCAGATGCGAGGGGTCAGAGAGATAAGTGGGATCAGAATACATGATGTGAAATCCATAAAGAATCAAGAAAAGTTTAGGAAAAATCATCATCTTCTGTGTCTAGCTTGGTTATTTCATTTAGGATCTGTTTCAAGTATTTAAAATGTTTAAGGAGGTAAAAAATAACTTGAACTACATTGTAATAAATGAAGCAGCTATAATCACAGGTAGGAGCTGTGTGCTCCTAGTGCTATACAGGCTTCTGACTCAGGAACTCTTGGCTGGTATTTTCTCTGTTGTCTGTTAGTCTTCATACCACCCAAGAGAAATTCAGTAATTTCATGATCACCCAGTGAAGGGATCAAGTGAAGTCCTCAGTGAATGTGTATTTTTTGACATGGTCATGACCATGTCAAAAATCCCAATGCCTCAAACCCATGAGAGTTTCAACGCCTTCAAGTGGTAAAGCTCAGAGAGATGACAAACCCTTCCTCTGTGCCAAGTGGGAATGTCAAGTGTGTGCAGAAAATGTCAGTGGTAGATTTCTCCCAGCTTTCTGCCTAGATGTCTACATCCTGAAGACTACTCTCCTACAGAGATTTCTCCTACCAAGATTATCTAAATCTGCCTTCTTGTTTAGCTGTATATACCAGCACTGCTGCCTTGTTTATCTGTACACAATAACCCTGCCTCCCCATTCACTGTATAAAACAAACACACTGAGCTTCGCAGGGACTGCAGCCTCTCCATCAGAGAACACAGTCCACCTGATCCCAGCTCTTCTGTGTTTGGGTGCTCATAATTTCCCATTCTCTCATAACCTCTAGTCAGGACCCCCAGCCATGCAAGGATGTGACAACCCAGCAAGACAGACTCTGTGCTCTGTTTGCTCTGTGAACATTTTTTGAAGAGAGTATTTCAGTACAATTGTTTGTCTTGGGCCTCAAGGTTACCCTACTCTAGGATTTAGTGGAGATGAAGTCTGACAGTTTCTTTTCCACGTGTTATTTTCAAGACCTCCCAGAATCCAAATAATGTGATGATATTGCCTATGACGTCTTTTTATGAGGTTTCATTTATGATGTAAGAATTAGAGTTAAAATCAGTATACTTTTATTTTAAACTTAAAATATTGGCTGTATAATATGCAACTATGGAAGGATAAAAATGAAAAAACTAGGTATCTAGTCCTCAAACAGCAGTTGACTGGCTAGGTTGTTTGTCTCTCTGGGCTTCTGCTGCTCCTTTGGCCCTGGGTATGGTAGAGTTCTTGATGCCTTAGTTAAACTAACTGCATATTCAAAGGGTTTTTTTTTACAAACTTATTTATTAATTCTTTTTTTTCCAAAATCTCAGACATCTAGAACTGCCAGAGTAGGCCTTGTCGCCCCTCCTTGCCAGTGACTATGGGGAATTGTGAAACATCTCTGGAGCATCATACAAAAAAGAGAGGCAGTTGTGCAATTTTGCATAATTAGGAGGGGAAAAAAGCTACACTAGTTGGTGGTCCAGTTCCTGCAACAGTTCCCAGATGCATCTGCTTTCATCTGCTAACTGGCTGCTATGGTGGTAACAGATGACTTTTAAACAGCTGTCACAAGCTGAAAACAAAATGAAACAAAAAGCCACCCTCCCACACTGTGTCTAGGTAGCTGGCCAATAGCTGAGATCTGGGACAAGCAGAAACTTTGGGGGCTTGTTTTTATAATTCAACAGAAACAAACAAACAAAAAAAAACTTCAGACAAGTTGCCCATAGCAACTCCCTACATGTTCTAAAGGGATAATAACAATTACTAGTTGCCAGAGGCATTTTAAATGTGTTAATTGCCTGCAGGAATTGACTTTCAAAATATACATGAGTTTTCCAGTTCTTTAAAGTCAAGTGTCTGCTGTGTTCCATCTGAGGCATCATGCTGCCGGTATAACTTTTGACACAGTTTGGGTGACTAAATAGTAATTAATATTTAATAGAAAAAAAGGAAAGTAAAAATGTGTTTTTTAGTTGTGACATCATTATTTCTGTTATTCTAAAAATCATGGAAATAATTACGAATGCCCGTTGAGCAAAATCTGGAGTAAATGGTATCCTGGGAAGAAAGGCCTTGGTAGTATTGGGCAGTTAGGCGCTCCTGGATAGCTTGTCCCTACAGTGTGGCTAACTGAACTGCAAACATGTCAGTCTGAGAGCTTTAACAGTTTATGCCCTGCATGTTGGAATGCCCAGCCTTCTTCTCTGTGTTACTGGATGGCTTCTCTCTGTCATCAGAATCTTCCTTAGCTGAAAGGCTGGGCCTTTGCTTATACTCAGTGCATTACCCTTTCTCTGAAGCAGGCAGAAGCACACTTGTGGTCTGTCTTCTCATGACTAACAGCGCTGAAAACAACACACGAGAATAGCATGGCTTCTGATGGAAACTGCATGTAACACTTACCAGGTGGCTTTCTCTCTGAGACTGATAGACTCTTCTTCCCAGGAGACACATCTGAGCCTTGGCTCCTTTCCATTTATATATCTTGTCTTTTAGATTCCACGTCGACACCTCACAAATGAGAAACATAATGAGATGCTGGTAGCAACCACCCGCCAGTGCGAAGATTATGAAAGGTAACAGCAGCATTTTATTTAGAGGTTACATTCTGCTAATGGGAACACTCTGCTTTCAGCTGTTAAGCACTCTGAGGAGAATCTACTGGATGGAAGTGAGTGGGGTAGATAAGAGGGAAGGTGGTGAGCGCAAGCCTGAACCATTTGAGTTTTTATTGTATTGTCTTCTTGTTCACTGTCATGATTATTATGAAACAGAGAGATGAATACACACAGAGGAAAGAGAGAGAGAGAGAGAGAGAGATGGACACACACAGAGAGAGGGAGAGAGGGAGAGACAGAGAGAGAGAGAGAGAGAGAGAGAGAGAGAGAGAGAGAGAGAGAGCTGCATGCCAAGGCATGAGTAGGAAGGTCAGAGGACAACTTTGAAGAGTCAGTTCCCCCCTTCCACTGGGGTCAGGGGTCAAACTCTAGCCATGCAATTTGCACAGCAAGAGTATTTACTGCTGAGACATCTTACTGGCTCTTGGTCTTCATGATCTGAACACATTTTCTTTCATCGCTATCCAAGAGGCAAGAATCATGGTAGGTCATGGAAACTGCTTGATTTTTAAAGTAATTGGTGAAGTTCCATAAAGGAGCTTTTGGCTGGAAATGATTTCTTGTTAGTCCTACAGATTTCGCCTAGAGAAGCAACTCTTCCACTAATAAGGTGAAGGAGTATCTATTTCCATCACCTGATTTGCTTACTCCTTAGCTCAGGTTCAGGGTGAGAGGTCTGCTGCGTCCCTTCCTCACACCCTTCATCCTATCAATCATTGAAGGGGTTTCTCCCATCTCCGTCTAGTCACCAACCCAGTGACTAAATCTCTCTTCTCCCTTGGCACCTTTTATGTGTAAGATGCTGTGCTAACTGCTTGCAGGAGGCAGAGACACACCTTTACCACCAGCTGCCCCTTGTTCAAGTCAGCTGTTTCTGTGGGTTAAAGAAGCCCAGTTTTGACACCTATGCTCCCTCTCTGTCACTGGGTTCCTTGAGTTCAGCTCAGTGTAATAACTTTCTTTTAAACAAAAATTTAGACTTGACTTTATCTATTATTGCATGTGTGCGGAGATCAGAGGACAGTTTTATGGAGTCTGTTCTCTCATTTCCACTTTCTGTGGGTTCTGGTTGTCTGGGTTACACAGTTGAGCCAGCTTGTTGGGCCTTTAATACCTTAAAGGTGAGAGATAGCTAAAAACGTATTAAAACTCAGATGCTTAATGTTGGTTTTCAACTGGAAACATCCGCGGGACAGGAGACATAATTCAGATTATGAGTTTGTGAGCAAACTACTTCTAATGTGACAGGGACAGGGAACCCATGGCAGGAGAGTCAGCCAACAGTGTCTACAACTGTCCAGTGAGAAGACCGGTAGCATTAATATGCAGTGGCGTTCACAGTACCCCATGTGTGTGCCGACTCTGGCCCATTTGTGCTCTCCTGTCTTCAAGACACACCTGCTAATATTTGACCATTAGATATTTATTTTGTATGTTCTAATTACAGCAATTACTGTTCTATGACTCAAGCAGTTGAGATAATCCTAAAAGCAAAAACTTCATTACAATAAAATAAAGTTTTCAGCAACCTTAGACAGTCTCTCCCTTCTTTTAGAGAGGTACCCAATAGTCTACATAGACATTTGTTTGTCGTCTATTTTTGATGATCCTGGAGTCTTGTGTACGAGATTATAAATAGTGTATGTCAATTACTTAATATAGAAGTAAAGTATATAAGACATTTGTATACTGAGGTTTTTTTGTCAAAAAGCTTGTTTTCATTTTTAAAATGTATCACAATACTGATTTCTCCCATTCTCCTAAACTATTTGAATTCAGTGACTTTCATAAACACACTGACCTCAGCTACAGAAAATTTAGTATTTTGTTATGGACTATTTATCATTCTGCAACAGGGATGTGTGTGTCTTGCCTCCTTAGTCAGATTTTATCTACCAAGGGAAAGAGTCATCATACAACAACAGAGCTACAGTGAGTTTTTATGAAATAAAGATGTGCAGTCTGAGGATTAGTCATAATACAACCTCTGACATTAACAAAGACAGAATGAGTGGAATAGGAGTGGGGGGGGCACACCTGTCCCAGCACTTGGGAGGTAGAGGCAGAAGTCTGAGATCAGCAGAGGCAAGATAAGACCTTGTTTCAGAAAACACAAACAGAATGAAAGAAAGAACTGGGATAAGGGAGACGTGGGAGGGAAAATGGAGACACCTGGTGTTTAAACAAAGAGGAAGAAGACTCCTGCCCTCTCTCTTTTTTGCATACTCTCCAGAGTCTCATCCTATGGCTTTAAGAATAAAATGATTCCCAGCTTTCAGACTGTGCCCCCCTTTTGTGGGGTGTTAAACTGGTTTGCTACAGCTATCCTCCAAACTACTGTTAACTTGCTATTCACCATTTAAACACTAAGTCTCTCTGTTTACCCTGCCTGAAAACCACACAGACTCAAACACTTTGAATCATGTTCATACAGTGTAGAAAATTTTGTCCTTCTGAGAAAAAGAGAGAAGGATGGGACCATTTTAGACTATTTCTAAGATGTGTGGATAACTAACAGGTTAACCTCTGTGGCATATGTGATTAGATGTGTAGAAAGAGGGAAGAAGGGATGAGGCATACGCTACAATTGCATCTCTGTCCTGGGGGAAGCTGGATTGGAAGGAAGAAGTGAAATGACAGCAAACAAGGTAGAAAGTAACACAGTTACTGGATTAGCCATCCCTCGCTGCTTCTGAGCTGTCCTTTTTAGTGGAAACATTTCCAGTTTGCATTCCTTTACCAAGCTACCGTTTTTGTTTTGTTTTTTGAGGCAGGGTTTCTCTGTGTAGCTTTGGAGCCTATCCTGGCACTCTCTGTAGACCAGGCTGGCCTCGAACTCACAGAGGTCCGTCTGCCTCTGCCTCCCTAGTGCTGGCATTAAAGGCGTGCACCACCAATGCCAGGCCAAGCTACTTTTAAAGGAAAAGCAAAGATGAGGTGGAAAGAGCCTCGATTCTCTCTCTCGTTCTCTCTCTCTCTCTCTCTCTCTCTCTCTCTCTCTCTCTCTCTCTCTCTCTCTCTCTCTCTCTCTCTCCATCTTGTAGACAAGACCAGCTTTGTCCTCACGGAGATTCACTGTGCCCACTGTGCCCACTGTGCCGGGGTTAAAGGCATGCACCGCCACACTGGGCTCACAATCTTGATTCTCAATGTGAGAATACAACACAGTTTCTATGGTCCACAGTGTTTTATAAGCAGCCTCACTCAGCGTGCTAGGGATCCTGAAGTCAGGGCTTCGTTTTACTTTTTTTGTAAAGCAGATGTTTTCCTGATTTTTGTTATAACATTTATTTTTTAGTATTTTTAAATGGATTATGCGTTCTGAAAATTACAGTTCCTTGCTAGGCTGTAACTAGCAAGGAAACCGTAATGATTCATCTTAGTCTAAAGCAGAGGTCATCTCAGAAGAAGGAGGTGAGTGTCAGTTCTTGTGAATTGCCTGGCACTGAACTCCTACTATAGCACTCTTTGGCCCTGTAGTATACACAGTCTGATACCAGCTATTCATGGAGCAAACCCTGTCTTCTGGTAACAATACACTGCTTTTTAGAAACCCTTATGGAGCTCTTCTTTCTGCACATCCAAAGCATTCAAGTCCTTTTGTAAAACATTGGTGTGCTTTAAGAAAATCAAACAATAGGGTGTTTTTTCCTCCATGTGAATAGCATACTCACTTCCAGATGCAGTGTTTAGCGGCCAAACAGCTGCTATCTATTTAAAAAATCTCTTAAAGGCCCATTTATTTGCTCATAAAGGGAAGAGAAGTGTAAGTACGTTTATGGGGTGACAGGCAGATGTTTTGGTTGGAACAGGACAATGGTGGTGGTAATCAAAAACTAAAACGATCTCTTTTATGGCATTGTAAGCAAGTATTTTGGCCTTTTTGTTTTTAACCCCCTCCTTTCTTGGTTAAAAATTTAACTATTATAGACAGGCAGAGTAAAGGGGCTTCTAAATAGATATGTCCTCTACTGCAGAACATTGAATTCTGTTTTCTGCAGAGGAAAAAAATCTCTTTTGAAGAGCTGAATAAATACTGTCATGATACAAAGAACATAATAGGTCATAACTGTTTTACAAATTGTACTAATTTATTTGTAATAGAAATATGTCAATTTTTCAAAAATTATATAATATTCCAAACCAATGAACACACATCAATCCCACTGAATTGCTGACATCACTTTAATTGAGTTCTTTTTTTTTCCTTGCAAACTAAGAAAGACATGTGTCAACCATGTGCTTATGTGCAATATAACAAATGAAATTCATCTTTGCTAGTGGATAGATTCACAGAGAACTGAGACAAGCGGTTGGGGAATTGTGTGTTTTTAGTAGGACTCTGCAAACCTCCTTGTAGAAATGTTTTGTGTGTAGATCATCCATTTCCGAGGCCCCACTTGTATGGAAAGCCCAAGCAGCTATCAGTGATGTGTCTTTGTACAGATTTTAATATTTTTTGCTTGCTCAAATTTTGGACCCAGTATAGCAATCCCTTGTAAACTTGTAAAACGTTTACCATCATCCAGGAAGTGTTTAGGGATGTTATTGGAAAGAGTAGACCTTTCCCAATAATTAACTATGAGCTTACAAAGGACCCTCCCTGTCTCTTGCAAGTATGGAATTCTGTGTCTGGGGACTGGAGACTGCACGGTTTCTCAGTGGAATAGTTTTGATGAAACATGAAAGCTTAGCGCTGGTGTGGAGGTCTGCACTAGGCAGTGGCAGCACACACAACACATAGCTAGGGAATAAGTTATAGCTCTCTCTCTCCTCTTTCAGCAACTCTGAGTCATTCTTTTGTTGTCTGAGGTTTCAGAATTTATGATGACTTGTCTCCTCCAACCTGATACATACACAGACCCTCTAGGGCAATAACACTTCCTCTTTGGCTGGAATCTGAGGCAGATCAAAACCAATCACCAAGATGACCGACGCCGTACTAGCAAAATTCCAGT